GACTTATACGAGCACTAAATACCACAATTTCCAAGGTGTTGCAGTGCATGTTTACTGCACCACAGTATGCAGAGACTGAGTCTTTGAAAACATGCTTTCAACTTCGCTTCACCTACAGCAGTGGGATATCCCAGTACTTCTAGCTCACACTCCGCTGCTGGAAACGTATTCAAAGTCCTGCAAAGTTTGAACTCGTCAGACGACAAATTGCAGGTAACCCGAATTTTGGACAACAGTTTTTCAGAAGTGCTCCGTAATTTGGAGAAGAATCAGTCCCACGTTGAGCTTCGTGATATGATGAGAGCGATAGGAATATTAGCTGAAATAGATCAGGTCATGTGTTCTCAAAATCTGGATCAGTTACAAGATGCATGGGAAAGAATACAAGCTAAGGGATCGTGGCTGAAGTTTGAGAGGTTCGTGCGATCCTTATCCTTTGTGGCATATACTATGAATGGTTCAACTCACTTTATATACTTCATTAGTTTCCGGGACGTAAGCCTGATTCTCTCAAGCCATGAAGCTTTATTTTCGTTGATCAATCGGCAACCTCACATAAAATCCATGCTTAGTGTAAGCTCCCATGATGCTCAACTATTGGAGGTTAAAACTATCCGAGAATCCCTCAAAATAAGTAGGGAACATGACGAACACCAGGCGTCTTTGAAATGCGCGATTTCGCTTTCGAAACTAATCAAACCCTGCGCTGAACTGGGCGTATTTATTGACGCAGCAGCAACATTTGATTTGGCAAATGTGCTTTGGGACCAGGGGGAGATGACAACCTCAATCCAGATGTTACAACAGCTTAGTGAGCAGAACGACCTCCAGAATCAATCTATTGCAGTGAACAAGGCGGAGATTTTGGCTAGTCTAGTAGGTAACAGTGAAAGTCCGTTTGAGGGAGTGAATTTTATACTTACTGTCTTAGGGTCGCCATGTTGCGGAAGCTAGGTTACAAAAGCCGGATACGATTATGCAGGAATATCTTCTTCCCGCAATAAAAGAGTTAAAGGGTAAATCCGAAGGGGAGGAAGCTGGGCGGGTATTCCATGAATTTGCAGTTTTCTGTGACCAACAACTTCAGAATCCAGACAGCCTGGAAGATTTCAGGAGAATTGAACAAATTCGTCATCGAAAAGAGAGAGAAGTATTAGATCTCGAGCAAATGATAGAGTCGGCAAGAAACAAAGAGAGAGAGTCACTTCTGATGCACATATCCAGAGCGAAACAATGGTTTGAACTGGATGACAAAGAGTACCAGCGGCTGAAGGAGAGTCGGGTATCTTTCCTCCGGCAGTGCCTAGAAAAGTATCTCCTTTCCTTGAAGGCATCCGATAAGTTCAAGAACAATGTCCTACGGTTCTGTGCTCTCTGGTTAGACAATTCGGAGAGCGAAGCAGCCAATGGTTCTGTCGCAAAATACATTAACGCTGTGCCCAGTCGGATGTTTGCGCCATTGATGAATCAATTATCGTCGCGTCTGCTTGATGTTGAGGATAGTTTCCAGCCGCTGCTAGCAAATCTCATTTTCCGGATTTGCAGGGAACATCCATACCACGGAATGTATCAGATATTTAACAGCAGCAGATCCACGCGTGGTAGAGACCATATGGGCACTTCCCGATACCGAGCCGCCAATAGCTTAGTTGACCGTCTGAAAGTAGATCCAAAGGCGTGTGCTACGTGGCTCACTCTACACAACACAAACGTCATATACGTGAGGTTTGCAACGGACAGGCTAGACAATGGACTAAAGAGCGGTTCAAAGGTTGCACTTAGAAAGACGGTCGCCGGACAACGATTAGAACAAGACATCAGAAGACAGCGTATTCCGCCACCAACCATGAAAATTGATCTCCGGATTGATTGCGATTACAGCCAAATACCCCGTATTGTGAGGTATCTCCCGGAATTCACTGTCGCATCTGGTGTCAGTGCTCCCAAAATCGTCTCCGCTATCGCTTCAGACGGGCTTTTGTATAGACAACTCGTAAGTCATGATAACGTGCTATTGTTGGGAATAGGTTTTACTGATATACATATTCAGTTTAAGGGAGGGAATGATGACTTGCGGCAAGATGCCATTATGGAACAAGTCTTTGAACAAGTCAGTGACTTGTTGCGAGAGAATCGGGCTACCCAGCAGCGCAACTTAGGCATCAGAACATATAGAGTGCTGCCTCTAACTACGGGTGCGGGAATCATCGAATTTGTGCAAAATACAATTCCATTAACCGACTATCTAATGCCCGCCCACCAAAAACAATTTCCCAAAGATATGAAGCCCAACGCCTGTCGGAAGCTTATCAGCGATGCGCAACAAAAATCATTGGAGAATAGAGTAAAAGTTTTCCGTGAGGTAATAAACCAGTTCCACCCGGTCATGAGGTTCTTCTTTATGGAGAGGTTCAAAGAGCCAGACGATTGGTTTAGCAAACGGCTTGCGTACACACGAAGCACCGCTGCCATTTCCATGCTGGGTCATGTGCTCGGCTTGGGCGATAGACATGGCCATAATATCCTACTTGATGAGAAGACGGGTGAAGTAGTCCATATCGATCTAGGAGTAGCCTTTGAACAGGGACGCGTCCTACCAATCCCCGAGGTGGTGCCTTTCCGTTTGACTCGTGATCTCGTTGATGGTATGGGCGTGACCAAAACAGAGGGAGTTTTCAGGCGATGCTGCGAATTCACCCTTGAAGCTCTGCGCCGAGAGTCATATAGCATTATGACGATTCTCGACGTTCTTCGTTATGACCCCCTTTACAGTTGGTCGTTGTCCCCACTGCGTATCAAAAAAATGCAAGACACCCAGGAGGCCGCTGAGGGCGCGGCTCACGTCAATGAAAGCGGCAAGAGCAAGAACCCAAATGAGCCGAGTGAGGCTGATCGAGCCTTGACAGTTGTTGCAAAGAAGCTTGGGAAGACGCTTAGTGTCGCCGCTACTGTTAATGAGTTGATTCAACAGGCGACAGATGAACGGAATCTTGCTCTTCTGTATTGCGGTTAGTTATTCCCTGGATGTTTTTGGGATTGTTGAGAAATACTAACTCACGTTCTACTTTTTTTCACTCTAGGTTGGGCGGCATATGCTTAATTAGATACCCCGAATGATTTTATTGCACAAAATATTTGGCTACATATGGGATTATTGGGTTAAATATATTCATTCAGATGCGTGTGTTCGTGCAGTTGTTTATGTTGATAAATACTAGTACAAAGTGAAGGTGTACAAAATCGATACCCAGCACATAATTCTAAATCGTCTTTATAGAATAACATAGATCTTTCAGTTTGTCGTAATTCTCGTTCTCCATATGCCGTATTTTCTCGTTTCCAGGTTAGCTTTCGGCGGTGCACACACGTATCCCGGCTAGAGTTCAATGCTTCAGTCCAATGGATCCTTCGGCTCAAATGAAACAAGCCTAACAACTTAAAGCTGAACTCGATTCGTCTCGGAGTTTCCGTATGGTGTTCTTTGCTCCTTTGGACTTTGTTTTTTTCAAATTGTAACGTGCTGCCATCATTGATTTTCTTCCTTCCGCTTGTTGATTTTTGAGTTTCATCATTCCGGCACGCATTGGGTGGATAAATGGTCACACCTAGGGGAATCGTTGTATTTTCTGGCGGAAGCGCAGCGAATAGCCTTGTAGATGTATTCGGTGCGGTCCGCACAAAAGGAGGAGTGCCCTCTCAGCCTA